TACAATTTATGAATTTGAAAGGAATTATAATAATAAAAATAGACCATAAATGAGGAAAAGAAGGTTTACACTTGAAACATCAAACTCAAATACGGATCCTAGACACAGAGACTAGCATCATCAGGGGCTTTCTATATTAACGTACATGCATTATGACGTCTTGAATGTAAAATGTGAATCAATGGTCAAGAGTAAAAATGCATCTCATTCATAACAAAGCATTAACCAGGATCAGGTTGAACTCCTCTCATAAATGCTAAGGTGTTATTTTTATTTTTATATTTTTTCGCTTTGTCATCCTTTGAAATATATACGTGCATTAGGAAGAAGTAAAACACCCCAATGGAGATTGAAGGAATCAAAATGGAGTCAGCTTTACTGCAAGCCTTGCATTCAAGATAGAAACTACTCATTAATGAAAAAGAGCAAGCTAATTAGAAACCTAAAATTACTCATTTGGCTCAGGTAGAAGATAAATTAAATAATTTTTATTAAAAAAAGACCAACTTGGTCTATTAACTGTAATTAAAAGTTCTCAGCCACCTATCAGTTCCCTCCTTTTGACTAATATATATTAACGATAGTGATGAAAACGATTTGAAGATTTCATAAAACCATCAAGCAACTCATAATACATGGAAAATGTATGGCATCGACATGTGGTGTCAAACATCGTTGATGTTCACAGTTTCATTCCAACTCGGGAGTATAAATAGCATCAGAAGAGAAAGATAGTCACGCTAATCAAAGCTAAAAAATGATTTCTTAAATGACAAATTTATCAGATCTTTTACATATGTGAGATAGATTTTGAAGGGTGGAAATCCTAAAAAAGGACTTCTTACAAGATAATTTCCAATATAGGATAAATTCTGTATTAGACGACCAATTTGAGTAAATCATCTCTTTAAAAAATATTAGCCCTAAATTATCTCTTCATGAATCATCTCCTTGAAAAACGGTTTATCAGAGATCGATCTCTTAAAGAGAGAATTTATCCAGGTATTTCAAAAACCACCCGAATTTTCCCAATACTCCGAAAACACATTAGTTTTAAATTACTAATTTGTCTTTTAAAAAAAAAACATTTGAGACAACAAAATTCAGTGGATCAGCTAGCTAAGTCACATTCCACTTTCACAAAGCAAGAAAAGGGAAGACACAACTAAGAAGAAAAACATCAATGATAATATAAAACCCTAAAATGCAGTAAGGAACGCCTTCGAAATTTCCAGAGGTTAGCAAGAAAATTTATCATGACTACATTTACTACCTACAACTGCAATCTTAAGCATCCCATGAATTTCTTAACTATCAAATGTTGTAGTACTATGTATATAGCCACCATTTTAAACTCGTGAAACGACTTTTTCCAAAAAAAAAAAAACAAGCTTTCATTGAGAAAATACAAGAAAACTAACAAGCTTTAAAAATAAAAATAAAAAATGTATTACCACCTATACCTCTCGAGAGTTGACAATATCCATGTTACTCAAAAAGTGATTCAAATACCCTTGCATTGCATTCTTAGCCCTATCAGACATAGACTGCTGCCTCCCTAAGGCAGGATGAATGATAGGCAGGGCAGCACTGGATGGAACATCCCTATAATAAAGAAACACAACCATATGAATAACAGCATTTTCGCATAACTGAGAACGGGCTATACATAAACAAATTCTTCCAATTTGCTTTGAGCAAAGCTGAAAAATACCTATTTTTAGAACTTTCATCATGATGCAGAGGATCAGCCTCGTCATCCGGTCCATCCTCATCTTGGGGCACTGCTGTGTGATCTCCGATTCCTAGATTTTGAAGCCATTCTTTAACCTTTAATATAACGTTCCAATGAAGACTACATCAAAACCCCAAACGTTCATATTAACAATAACTGATCTAAGATTTCAAAAGCACAAAAGCATTAAATATACCCATGAATTCATACGATTAAACCAAGAACAAAAACGTGTAACAATAACAACCATACAACTATTGAGTTTTTAGAGGGGTTGAAGCACAATAGAGTTTTTGTATAGAGAGGTCCAAGGTCACTTGTTTGGTTCTCTGTCTCCCTTTGAGCCTTATTGTGTAAGGATTTTCGTAATTACCCTTTAGATCTTTCGTTGGTCCGAGCTATCTTCCATTTTCATTTGGCTCCTTTCATACGCCCCAATGTTTCTTTAGCGAAAGTATGCTTTGTTATGAGAGACAAAAAAAAAAAAAAAAACAACCATACAACTACATAGACCTTCATACACATACCTGTTCTTGCTTCTCGTGAATTTCCTCAATGAACGCCCGTTTCTTTAATGCAAAATGCAAATAAAATACATGGGAAGCTTTCTTCAACATGCGCCATTTGAACTATTACAGGAAAACAAGATAGAATTCAATCAGGAAGTGCTCAAAACTGAAATTTTTTTAAAAAAATTCATCATAAAGAGGAAAAAATCACTATACTACAGAAAAAATAACGTCATAGATAGAACAAAAAACTTAGCAACTCTTGCTTCTGCTCGAGAATTTTGGGAGAGTTAGGAAGGTAATTAGTAATCAAAAGGTGTCGAAATAAAGCTCTAAATCTAATAGACTACGCATTCTTCAACATGATGTAACTCGTCGATGATGAGATACATAATTCGACAATCGGTTTATCCGATTTCCTCTATATTATTCGCGAGCAAACAAAAGCAATTGCACAAATCTAATAGAACATTAATTCAAATTACGGAACACCTGAAGCGTGGACTAATTCAGCTGCAGAAACGAAATCTCCAAACGATGATGAAATTAGAAACAACACAAATTCAAAGAGAAACTCGCACCTGCTTGTACTGGCACTCGATTGTGTAAGAAAGAAGCATGGGACTAATATCGCCGGCATCAGGGCGAGAAACGGAAATGATTGTGGCATTCGGCAACTCATCGAAAATCCTAGTCGGCTCAGGAGCGTCGTGATGAAACGAGAAGAACGACGACATCGAAGCCGTAGGCGGCTCCGATTGCATTTGAACGTATCGAGGCCCGCCTCCATCCACCAACTGCTCCGATCCCATTCCTAATCTGTCCAACGCTACAGCAGCTTCGTTTGATCGAACACAGCCACGATTGAACACTCTTAATCCACGGAAAACAGAAACAGAGGAATCGAGAGATCGAAATTTGTTCTTGAACTGCAGGCAACAAGAAACACGTCAAAGTCTGAATTTCGCGGGTTTCTAACGTGGGTTTCTTGTCAATCCACAATGAGAAGAAGATCGGGTTTCTTCAATATTTTAATCGTTGAAAATCAAATCAATCGCCAAGTTTGATTCAGTGAAGGAATGCGATTAATAATATTGAAGGATGATCAAATTATTTTACAAACAAACGATCGGTCCAAGAGGCAATTGTTTTAGGCCTTCTAATTATAAAATACCTCACTTTATTATCTATGGGATGTATTAATAGCTCTTCCACATGTCGTTAAAAATGTGGTGAGTTAAATTTTATATAAATATTTTTATACAAATGGATCGAAATTATTTGTTGTCGGACTTGTTATCGTGCGACACTCACTCCCTAGCAACAACTGAGTTAAGCCTATATGTTCTTGTGTCGCCTACGGCCAAGTGACGTATATTCGAGCCTCTGGCCCCGGTTCAAGAAAAAAGTTTTAGAAAACTGGAGCAAAAATTGAAATTTGTGTTATATGAGAATGTAAGCAAAAGACAACAACAACGGCTTACTGCATATTACTATCGGGTAGAGAGAAGTTGACAACTAGTTAGGTTTGAAAAATCGTTCGGACCAATTCGAAATGTTGGGTTGGTGACCCGAACAACTCGAATAGAGTTCACAGGGCGGTAGAGTTGGGTTGTCGAGTTTATTTTAATTATTTTAAAAAAATTCTACTTATATATTAATAACTAAAATCTCACAGTTCAAATACCAAATATTTATAAGTCACAACATATCACTAATATTTTAAATATTTTAAAAGTAGGGTTGGATTATAACCCTATTTCAAGATGATCAGATACATTCGACCGAAAAATGTCAAACTTTCATGACTTGAATTGGACCGTCAAAATACTATATATATATATATATATATATATATGAAAACCATAATATTAATATTAATTTAGATTTGGTATTTTAAATTAGGTTATAAATTCTTAATGACAATTTTTAACGGTCATATGCAAAATTAAACATTAAAAAATTTTAACTACAAAATTAAAATATTTGTGTGTGAAAGTACAGATTTAAAATTTTCTTAAAATATAAATTGTATGTTTGAAATTTAGGCGGGAAAAAGGTGAAAAATAAAGGAAACAGATAATTTTAAAAATTAAAAGAAATAAATAGAAATTGTGATATAGAAGATTTTTTAAAAATTGTAAACTTCTTTTATGAAAAAATAAATTAATAAACAAAATTGGGCGACGTCAGTCCAAAAACCCTTTAACCCGTCACTTGTTTAGGCCTTGAGTTGTGTCATCATCGGGACTTTACTCTCGACCCAGCTTTGGCTTAGTCAATTTTAGGCACTATTCTTACCCAAAAAGCCCTTTAGCCATTGGTTTACTCAGGCCTTGAACTATGTCGTTATCGTCATCAGAACTTTGTTGTCAACCGAACTTTCGTTTAGTTAATTTTAGGCACAATTCTTATTCAAAAACTCTTTAGTCCGTAGCTTGTTTAAGCCTTGAGCAGTGTCATCGTCGTCGTCAACGTCAATCGAACTTTGATTTAGTCAATGTTAGACACAATTCTCTAATCTTACAACAATAATATATTTATTTTTCTTAAATTTTTTTAAGAGGTAATTACAGCTATAATCTCATGGACACTTATTGGACTACAAAAATCCTTCGGGTCATATTTGGGCCTTTACTTCTATTGTATTAGCCCAACTTAAAAGGCCCAATAATATCGTACTTCAGGCCCATTTAACGGCCCAGAGCGGCCCACGAGATTGGGACGGCGGATCATTACCAGTGTCGTGGAGTGACTCCGTCCGCCAGTCCGCCATCTCGTTCTCAAAGCCCTAGATCTTTCGTCTACAAAATCCCAATTATTCTTCCAATTCCAAACGCTTCCATTGCAATGGATACCTCTCTGGTCGCCGGAACGCTTTCAATGGTCGCCAACAACGGCGTCGGGTTCGCTAAATTCCTCAATCGCCTCGATATCCTATCCAATTACAGTTTCTCCGCTACCGATTCAATCACCGACCAGATCCCACCGTCTTCCGCCGCTGGAGCTCTTCAATTATCGGCCGCTCTGTTCCCCGTCGCAACCATTGCTCCGCCGCCTGTCAAATCGATTTCGTGCCGATCGTCCTCTCGGATGTTTCTCCGTAGAAAACGACGCACGAAGCGTAGATTGTACAGCGGCGATGATTCCGAGGGCGGCGAGGATAATGGATTCGACGGCGGCGATTTTGACGGACCGTACGGTGGAGATGGCGGCGGAGGCGGCGGTAGGGGTTGGAATTTCGATAGATTTGAGGGGAGTGATTGGGACGAATCATCGTCGTCTTCTACATCTTTGAATCCTGCGTATTATTTCGTTTACGAAGTGGTTTGTTGGATCGCGCTCTCGAACTGTGTGCATTTTGCGTTCAAGAAGGTTGTTAGATTTGCAGCTGAAGCAATTGGGAACTCCGAAAGGGTAAAATTGTTCCTGAGATTGATCTCTGTTTGTTGATTGCTGCAATTCTCTTCACAACGATCATGCTTGAATTGTATATTTTGTAAATATTCATATTGATTTATCTTTTTCTTACTGTTCTTCACTTCTAATTTATGGATATTCATTGAAATTACTCACGGTAGGTTGATCCACTGGCTATGAACAATTATGGTGATCATTGACTTGGAATTTATAGTAATTTTTTAAAATAGAGCTTATTCGCCAACACTTTGGATAAGCTCAAATAATGAGTTAGATTTTTCTTTTGCCTCGTTGTCTGAAGAACAGTGTCCACCACATGTCTTTAACAGATTTTTTTCAAAAATATTTCAATTTTGAAAGCTTTTCTTGAAAATATGGTTTTTTTTTTTTTTTTTTTTTTTTTTTTTTTTTTTTTTTTTTTTTTT